AATGAGAAAGCTTGGTTGGTGGTGAAGGACAGCTGGTGGTCGCCATGCTCTGGAAGGAGAGCAGGGACCAAGCAGGCAGGCGGAGGATGAGCGAGGCCGCCATGCAGTGCTGAGGAGGTGTTATTGTTCAGGAAGATGGCTCAAAATGAATCTCACGGAGAGACAGAGCTTACATACCCAGCAGCAGCCGCCAGTCCTCTATGAATCAGCGCGTTGGGAAAACCTGTGGAAAAGTCGTCAGCCGGTGACTATTTTGCTGTTAGGCTGTCGCATTCATCTGGCTGGCTTCACTTGAGCCGGAATAAGTGATACAGTTGTAGGGGGAGATGTCCACTACAATAGCCCATCGAACTCCTTAAATAATTCAATTGGTATTGCCAGAATATGCCCACCAGGCCAATCCTCTCCTGTATTACCCGGTTATTGTAGTGGACATTCCACAACCGCTGTTTGTCGCTTAATTACTGACCTTTCGAATTCTGGCTTACGCCTCACAGGGTCTGAGGTCGGTAACCAGTACCGCCCAACAAAGCTGGAGCGTCAAATCATCAAGGTTTACCGCCATCCCCGTCGGATATGGATTCCTGCGGTCGCAGACCTACCTCTTCTTTTCACCTACAGCCACCAGCAAGCAACACCTCCTCTGTTCTGGTCAAAGAGTTCCCTGGCTCCTGCCGGCGACCATGGTGCCCCGTTGCTTTATGGTCCTCTGAGCACCTCACTAACCAGCTTCTACCCACGCTTAACTCCACGCCACCCCCCAGCACCGTTGCACAAGCCAACATTGCTGGGCGAAGGACAAGGCAGAGAGCGATTGTGAGTTTTCTCCATCTCATCCTGAGGAAACGGAATATTCTATAAACTTCACGACTATCATACATGTATTTTATCCTGATCCCACGGTGAAAAGGCGGATATATTTCTGCCTGCCAACCACGAGGGAACCCTCAAAAAAAACAACCTGCTTATTAAAGTTTATATATTAACATTCTTCCTCTCTGTTGAGGAGGATAAAGACAAAACCAGTATGCGTGGTATGACGCTCTCCAACAAAGCATATTTTATCTCTTTATCACCAGGGTGACGTTATGTCGTCGACTCAAAATGCGATTGCGTAGACCGAGGTATTACTTTACCGACTCAGGTTAAAGACAGACGTACTGAACGGCAAGACGTTTACTGGCGTTAGATAACAATTTGTACGTAGTCGCGGGGATAGGGAGTTACGTCAAAACGTGGTTTACATCCGCTCGTGTAATTGAACATTAAACACGTTATGTCACTGTTTGTCGGTTGCCTTCGGGCAATATGTTAATTGAGTGCGCATGATCACTTATTGTTGTACCTCCATAATACGCACAGCAAAGTGGTAAAGAGACGTACTGATCTGCCCAAGCGGCTAACGAGCCGATCAGTAAGGAAGGAGGATAAAAGTAAAAAAAGAAAAGTAAAAACGGACCTAGGAACAGTTACTGATCGGGAGGATTCTCGGGTATGCAGCTATTTTTCAATATATTTACCCAACGTCCACCCAAACGAGGTAGCCAGAGGTGGCAGGGGCATGCTAAGTTCTCCATAGCCTCTAAATGTCGTTTCAACATATTTTGAACCTGCACTGTTCCTGATCCCACAGCCATTGGCTGACAAAAACAAAAACAAAAAAAATCCCGATGTCCGTTCTACCGAGCCGATCAGTAAGAAGATAACAGTAATCAAAAGGACACCGGTCAGGCTAACTTTACCGCACCTAATCGAGATTGAATTTAGGAAAAAGAAATGGACGCTAAAACACGCACTAACAACTCTTTCATTGTAAACCAAAATACAGCCAACGAATTCTTCCCGGAGCCGTTAGGTTTTGGAGATTTTGAGTTTGACGGAATCTTTTCAGAGATTAATGACTTAAACTAGACAACTAGACACTCAACTACACTAAAACATCAGATTTCTGATGCTTAAGCATCAAACAATCTACCGTAGCACTTGGAAACTCATGGCTATCCCCGATAATATAAGGATATGCCACTTATACTGACAGACCCGACACTCACTTACTTGACAAGTTTCTACAACAATAAAGATATTTAAAGCTTAATCATTACTCACACGACTTGAATGTTCCAAATATAATCATACATATCTAAGTTGTTTCAACATATACACCAAAAGTACCTGAATTTCAAATATTATGCAGTACTGAGGAATAACAGTCTCTGGTGCACTCAAAATTGAGAGAAAACGAGCACCAGGACGTTTTGAAGCATGATGAGAAAACGAACCTCTGATAAAACTCCAAACAGAAACAAGTTATACGTTTTTAGGCTATTGAGCGAATATGACCGTCTGATTTACAGATTAACTGACGTAACGACCGTACAATAACAGCACCGAGTGTGAGCCAAGAAAAGACTTGACCAACAAGAGCAGATTCTGGCACATTCAGGAGCCGCATGCCCAGTACCGCCAACAGGCTTAACAGATACGTGACCGATCGCCCTAGCGTATAACGAGCCGATCATTTGCGAAGAGTAAACAAAAAATTACTCAATCTGATAATGAATACCTGAAATGCGCCGCTCCCTCAAGTTTTTTGCCCGCCGAATAACCTCCCATTTCTCCTCGCTCACCATTGTATCATATCAAGAAGCAGTTCACCCCTGCTTTGTCCCAGCCAGCTGACAGCCAAACAACCAAGGTCCCAAAGCGTGAAACTAGTCCATAACCATTTAAGAATTTTGAGAGATATAACCTGCAATTTTTTTTTCTCAGCAGTGTGAGGCAAACTGAAAGTTCAAGCCACACCAACCACAACAGCCATGAAACGAAATGAACACTTTTAAATGCACGCTTAATTTTCCATAGCTCACTATGTGTGTCTCCCGCTGGACCACGACCGTATCTAATTGCTTAGCAAATCTGTCAATCAGAAATCGCCTTTGCGACTATAACTCCTAGTTGCTGTTTGTTAAAGCAAGGGTATTCCAACAATAAGTTTAATCTAAGTGTTTTCAGTTTATGTTTTATTTTAATGAGTATTTTTAGAATATTAAAAAAACATAAAATTTAAAAAATATGTTATTAACATTTATTCGAGAAAAAAAATAATAATTTTTTACTTATAGAAGACTTAACCAACAGGATATAAATTTAAGTACTTGCAAGCGCCGTTGTGTTAAGAAGGACAAGATGCCGTCTGGCCACTGAGCTAATCCGTATTACCCCTGACCTCTCATTTACTAAAAAGGCTGTTTCCATCCTCTCAGTAAATGGCTCTCCACATGGACAAGGTGAATAATCCAACGTAGATAACTACCAAGCCTTGCGGTTTTTTTTGCGGTTTTTCCCCGATTAACAATTAGTTAGTTGGTAGGTTTAATTAGGTTAGTTGCAGAAACGAGATTTCGCAGAAATGTATATTAGAATCAAAATGAATCACAATAAAAACCTAGGGAAAAGAAAATTTGGTAAATATTCGTCCATTGGCTGTCCTTAGGTTATGGTATGAGATTATTTTTTTAATGTTTTCACTGTTTTACTCAAATCTGACATTCATTTATTTTGCAAAATAGGGTTTTGCAAAAAATTTAAATTTTCATTTTAACAAACTGCTAATATGCAAAAAATGGAGGTCAAATTTGAGTTCACCCAAAAAAAAAAAAAAAAACTATTCTCCTACTAGAGGAACCAACCAGCCTACCTAACCTCAACCTAACCTAACCTAACCTACAAGAAGGAGACAACTGACTCTTAAGTGAGGAGATAACCTCAGGTAAACATGGCGGGAACCTGCAGACAGCCAGTGAATTAATATTAATCCAATATTTTAAGCTTCAAAGTGAGTTGGGTGTTAATTCAGAAATTTACCACTTTTTCCAACTTGATCACTAAATACAGCTGTTTGTTACGATGCCATGGATCCTTTTTGTACATTTGAGAATTTTAGGTTAATATTGACGACTGACCTGCCGATGAGTTATTTGTTTTGGTGTTATTTTCTTACTTGATTTTCCTCAGTGAGTACTGATATGATAATAATTTCTTTGTGCAAATACTTCGTTTGGTAGATATCAGGTGCTTAAGAGTACACACTACTTAGTCTTCGGTAATGTGGCGGTTATATGTTAAGGGGTTAAGAAGTTAGCTAGGTGGGGTTAAAAAACCACAGTGGATATTTTGCCGTGACTGGTTAAGTTCCTATTAATGCAATTTTACTCGTGAGTGCACACTGATTGGCTAAGTAGTTTGTCAATTTACAGTAGTGACCATTCTTTCTTTGGTTTTAGAAATATGTTTTTCCGGTTTTTGATGAGTTTGAATGAATTTGATATTCATTTCCTTCCAGAAATCACTAAATTTTTTAGACCCCCCCACAATCTTAAGTGAAGATGGAGAACAAGGCCAAGATCCTTCAAAAGTCATCAAAACCATAGGAAAAAACATATTTCTAATACCCAAAGAAATATAACCTAACCTACCCCTTTCTGTAAAAAACATAGAAAAATCGCCAAAAACCAACCTAACCTAATCAGGGGCAGCAAACAAAGACACGGAGCAGGAACTGAGGGGGACAAGGCTTCCCGCCTCCACATAAACAAGGAATGGGGCCTCGATTTGTGACACACAAAAGATAATAATATTGGAAAAATAACATCTAGGTTATCCATACTTCCGACGAAAATATAATAGAAGAAAATGTCTCAGAAATTTACCTAAACATCCGAAAACATATTTATAACACCGAGAGATAGAACGGTGCACTAATGTAAAAAAAATGTACTTTCTGTTTAATATGACAGGGGGTCGAACCCCTGGCAAGAAGGTTAGGTAATGTTATTTAGGTTTTTTGGTTGGTTAGGCAGTTCTATTAGGTTCTTGTAAATGTTGCTTCTTTTATAACGATAAGTTTCCATGCACAACAGAAATATAGTGTATGGTTAGGTATGTTTATAGCTACACAACGATATGGTCAAATATGTTTCAATGCTCATCGGTACGTAACGATGAGCCAATCAGAGCACACTCATGGTAAATAGTGTCAGTAAGAACTTAACCGTCACGCAAAATATCGATTGACTAAATAAAACATTTGCAAAGCTACAACAATGTCCCTATAAAACACAGAAAATGGTACATTTTTATAATCACATTTGCTAAATTCTCAGCGGTCGGTCATCTGCCTATATGGAAGTTGTTCAAAACATATGAAAGACCATCGAAACAATTTCCACCTAACTTAACCTAAACTTAAAATCCTAAAATTTACTGGATGACCAAAACAATAATAATACCTATTTAAATTATTAGTGATAATTAAAGCAACCTAAACTACCTAACTTCATATCCTAGGTTAGAGGTTTAAGGTAGGTAGGCAGATTAAAAATCTTCAGGAAAATCCTGTATTATCATGAGGATAAGCTGTTTTCATAATACAGTACTGTTTTCGTTTTGCCATTTGTCTTTAATCCTATACCTAAACAGTTCCTTGATTTAGTGGGAATGAGCCACTGAGTACTGTACTTGCTGAACATGTGTGTGTACATTATATATCCTGTTGTATCACACTCCTGCAGATCTCATTGTTCAGCAATGATTTTTGGCACTTAGCTATCTATAGCCTGAGGATGCTGAGGTTAAGGCCACCTTGCTGCCTCTAAAGTTGTTAAAATACCCTCTAAAAAAAATGTTTTTTGAATATATTTGTAGATGACAGATATGGTATTGAAACTGCCTAAAATCTGCTTTTAAAATTGTTTAGAACATGGTAGTTAGGTAGGCCCTGCATCTGTAGTGGTGATAAAAACCAGTACAGTGTCTTGAATTATTGTTACTGCATTATATTTTACCAGGAATGAACTACTGAATATTATATATCTTGGTGTTTGGTTCATTCCTTATAGGATACATACTGTACTGCAGGCATGGGCAACCTTCTCAGTCATGGGCTGCATTACGATTTAGGTATTTTTCTAACCCACCAAAATTTATATCCTACCTAACCAAAAGTAATGTTAATATTGTATTTGCACTCCACAGTAAAACAGTTTATCGTCATGTCCACCTTTACAATATTTTCAGTTTGCAACGGTCTTTTTCCCATTTATGAAAGAAATTCTTCATAATAAATTTTTGAAGTACAGTAATATGTTAATGTTTCTTGGCATGAGTGAAGCTGTCTGGAATATGTTGATTTTTCCAACAGCTACATAATTTTTCTTGCTTATGAGACACACCCACCAGAATAATGTCTATGTTAATCTTGATGCATGAGAACTACAATGACAACCCTTAGGTACATCCACTCAGACAAGAATAAATAGATAGAACAGACAGCCAGGCATGAAGGAAGAGGTACTATGGAGAGAGACAGTCTGTCAACAAGGAAGTGACCTTTACCTTTGACCCCTGTGACCTCCACCTGTAAACTCACACAGGTTAAAATGTTAATATTTTTTACTATTTATACTTGTTTCACGGTTATATTTTCATAGTTACTTACTCTTAGGTGATGAAAGTCATGAATTGTGTGTGAAGATTTTTCTTTTAATAAATTTTGCTTTACCATAAGCTGGCTGCATCTACCTGAACTGCAGGCCACATTAAATAGAATTTCTCGATCACTCTGTGGGCCGCACAAAGACATGGTTCGGGCCCGGGCCGCAGGTTGCCCATGCCTGCTGTACATTTTTTATTTTTATTTATTTTTATGGGGAATAGCCCACCCGGGCACAGGTCATCGACCCACAACGGGGCCTGAAGGGCAGAAAAAGAAATTTAAAATAGAAAAGAAAAAGATATATTAATCTACACCACGAAGATGCCTCAAAACCAACTTTTTGAAGTGAGACAGGTTGTATGAGTATGGAAACATAGAAGAAGGCAGAGCATTCTACAGTGTGGCTGTGTGAGGAAAGAAGGATGTACTGAGGAGAGAAGTTAGAAAAGTGAGATCAACCTCAAAAACAGAAGCTTTCAACTGATAATTATTTATTTTTTGACAACACAGAGAAGCTGTGCCACAATCCTTCATGATAACACATAACATAGACCATCCAAGCCTAACTTATGGTCAGTCCTAAAAGACATCATCATTACTGGCTGGGACAGTGTGGTTGATTTGTGTCATATATTGTCAGAAAAGAAACGAAGATTTTAAAAGGTGTTTTTGTACAATCCGATTTATTTGTATACTTGCAGAATTAATATCAGTAAAAATCCTGTCAAGATATAACCAAACATAAAGTGGCAAATGTAAACCTATAAATATACAGTAATGCTCCACAATATTGTCATCATCCTCAGTATTATTTCACCATACAGTTCACATTTGTGTTTATCATTTTTATTGTTCTCTAAGTTAATGTAAACTGCTAGTGGGACAACAGGAGTGCACTTGCTTCTCACTACTGTATCCCGGGTTTAAACCTAAGGCAGATGTGAGGAAGGTGTTGTCCATTGCTATACCTTCTAACATAATTTTCTCTGGTGTTCTGTGTTAACATTGGACTCATGAAGGGCAAACTCACCAGGGAACAATGGGGGGATTAATCAAGCCACTGACTTTCTTCCCCCTTTCAAGATGTTGAATTATGAATTATATCAGTTTAATTAAAATGTTTCTATTTTCTTGTGTATTGATGTTGAAGGTCTGTCTTTACTTAGAGTTCTCATTCTTTCAGCACCAAAAAACTACTTCCAAAGACGAGAGTTCTCCTTCACACTTGCTGATGATATATATTTGAGGTACCAGTCATTTAGAGACCAAGAGGATATGGAGAAGGAGGTCAAGAAAAATTGTCCACACAAGATTGATATTGGTGCCATCTACAATTCCAAGTGAGGTCATTGTTCATGATGGTATACTAAATTGATGCGTTGGGGTCTTATGGAAGGGAAACACTGCAACAAGAACACATGTGATAAGACAGAGGGAATGAGTGTTGTTTAGGAGAGAACATTACACACAAGCTGCTTGCGACCCTGACCTGTACTGTGGCAGAAAAAAAAACTACTCAGAATAAAGTGATAGGCTACAAGTTTTATTCCAATACAGTGGGGTATGCTATAATGAATCTAATTGGTTCTAGAACCTTGTTCGTTATAGCATTCGTTCGTTATAGGATTAATCCGTTCCAGGCCCCCAAATATAACCACTTAACACTGAAAAATATAATATAAAATTGTAAAAATTGTAAAAAAGTGCATAAATATGCATCTAAACCCCTGAAATAAAGAATATCATTAATACTTGTAATAAAAAAAAAAAAAAAATAAGTAATGTTCGTTGTAGGAGTTTTGTTCGTTATAGCATTCTCAATTTTATAGGTAAAACCGTTCGTTATAGGAATATTCGTAGTAGGAGCCGTTCATTACAGCATACCCCACTGTATTTGCATTTAGATGACAGTAACATGATTGGTTATGGGAGAGTGTACAATCAAAGACAAAACTAGTGTCGTGGTTTTGTCCGAAGATTAAATATAACTCGTGAAACATTATGAGAGCCCCCTACCACAAGGCAGAGTGCACCAAAAGTTTAGCCCTTCGGCATATGTTTTCACCAAATTTCACGACACGACTTTTGTCATTCATTGTACAGGACTGATAAATCTAATTAATTAATGATATGACCTCTGGTTTAATGTGTTGTGTATTGAAACAAGGCTGTAGGACTTCACTCTTGTGATAAAAACATACAAGTACTGTACCTAGATATTCTGTATGGCCCTTTGTCCTTGATAGTTCAAAGAAGTAATGATTATAGCTGTTGAAGACTTCCATTGTTCCCCCAATCAATTTAAAATGGTAATTACAATCTTACATCATTGTAAAGTTTGGGCCAAACAAAGGTCAGAGGTCCTTTCTCATGTTCAAAATTTTTTTATTGTAATTATAAGGAATCTTATTTCCATCATTACAGACCCAAGGATCACCGCACCGTTCACATGTTTGCACCACAAGAAAAAGAACTTGTTTTTGACATTGATATGACAGATTATGATGAAGTAAGTCATTACACACACACACAGTTTTGTATCCTGGTGGAAACATTGTTCTTTGACTCTCTCTGTACAGTATATGTCCAGATCCTCACCAGTATATAAGGGATCCATTCGTCCTCACTGAGTACTGCTCTCATATCTGGGGTGGCTCTTCTTCTGTCCAACTGTTAGATAGGGTGGAATCCAAGGCATTTCGTCTTATTAACTCTCCTCCTTTAGTCGACAATCTCTCTCCCCTTTCTCTTCGCCGCAATGTTGCTTCACTCTCTCTCTTTTACAGGTACTTTAACGGGCAGTGTTCAGGGGATTTGGCATCCTGTGGGTTCGTAACACACGTCTTGCCCGCGGTGCCCACCATTTCTCTGTTGATATCGGTCACACGAGAATAACCCGTTATAGTACCTCCTTCTTTCCTCACACAGCCAAACTGTGGAATGCTTTGCCTTCTTCTGTGTTTCCATGCTCTTACAATCTGTCTCACTTTAAAAAGCTGGTTTTCCGGCATCTTCGTGGTGTAGATTAATACAGTATAACCTTTTTTTCTATATTTTCAATTTCTTTCCGTTCTTTTTTTTTTCACCTCCCAAGCTCCGTTGTGGGTCGTTTGACCTGTGCCCGGGTTGGCTAATTCCCGTAAAAAAAACAAAAAACAAAAACAAAAGAACTTGATGTGATCTGTTCAGTTTATTCATTTAAGATGGAATTCTCACAATGGAAACGATTACATTACCATTTGCTTCCAGAGTCAAGGAATAATGCAGTACAAATAGATTTTAACGTTCGTGTTTTCCTGAAGAATTGTGTTACAGTTTATATAGACTAACCTGGGTGTTGAGGAATGCTACAAATGTCTTGCTATGGTGTCAATAATGTGAAGCAAAAGGTAAGGATTGTTATCATCATTTTTTATTGCATTTCTAGTCTCTAATACTAGACCTTTGGAAAAATATTACCGAATCACAAGTATTCTTCATAGTTTCTGAGGTGCATGAACTGCTGTGGACCTCTCCTTAGTTAATCTTTTAATGGACCACATGGAGATTAGGTATTCAACATACTTCACTTGATGACTAAACATTTTAATGCTAACCTAACCTAATAAAATTTTATTTAACCAAACTTACCGCCATCCAGACAGTGTTGGGGTGTTTAATCATCAGTTACCGTCCTCCAGACAGTGTTAGGGTGTTTAATCATCAGTTACTGTCCTCCAGACAGTGTTAGGGTGTTTAATCATCAGTTACTGCCCTCCAGACAGTGTTAGGGGTGTTTAATCATCAGTTACTGCCCTCCAGACAGTGTTAGGGTGTTTAATCATCAGTTACTGCCCTCCAGACAGTGTTAGGGTGTTTAATCATCAGTTACTGCCTCCAGACAGTGTTACTTAAGACAGTGTTACATCAGTTACTGTCCTCCAGACAGTGTTAGGGTGTTTAATCTTCAGTTACTGCCCTCCAGACAGTGTTAGGGTGTTTAATCATCAGTTACTGTCCTCCAGACAGTGTTAGGGTGTTTAATCATCAGTTACTGTCCTCCAGACAGTGTTAGGGTGTTTAATCATCAGTTACTGCCCTCCAGACAGTGTTAGGGTGTTTAATCATCAGTTACTGCCCTCAGACAGTGTTAGGTGTTTAATCATCGTCATCAGTTACTGTCCTCCAGACAGTGTTAGGGTGTTTAATCATCAGTTACTGCCCTCCAGACAGTGTTAGGGGTGTTTAATCATCAGTTACTGCGTCCTCCAGACAGTGTTAGGGTGTTTAATCATCAGTTACTGTTACCCTCCAGACAGTGTTAGGGTGTTTAATCATCAGTTACCGTCCTCCAGACAGTGTTAGGGTGTTTAATCATCAGTTACTGCCCTCCAGACAGTGTTGGGGTGTTTAGATCATCAGTTACTGCCCTCCAGACAGTGTTGGGGTGTTTAATCATCAGTTACCGTCCTCCAGACAGTGTTGGGGTGTTTAATCATCAGTTACTGCCCTCCAGACAGTGTTGGGGTGTTTAGGGTGTTTAATCATCAGTTACTGCCCTCCAGACAGTGTTAGGGTGTTTAATCATCAGTTGCACCCTCCCAGGCTTGATGTTAGGGTGTTTGTCTTGCCAATTTACCTCCAGACAGTGTTGGGGTGTTTAATCATCAGTTACCGCCATCCAGACAGTGTTGGGGTGTTTAATCATCAGTTACCGTCCTCCAGACAGTGTTGGGTGTTTAATCATCAGTTACTGCCTCCAGACAGTGTTAGGGTGTTTAATCATCAGTTACTGCCCTCCAGACAGTGTTAGGGTGTTTAATCATCAGTTACTGCCCTCCAGACAGTGTTAGGGTGTTTAATCATCAGTTACTGCCCTCCAGACAGTGTTAGGGTGTTTAATCATCAGTTACTGTCCTCCAGACAGTGTTAGGGTGTTTAATCATCAGTTACCGCCCTCGGAACCCAGTGTTGGGTGTTTAATCATCAGTTACTGCCCTCCAGACAGTGTTAGGTGTTTAATCATCGTTACTGTCCTCATCAGTTAGTCCTCCAGACAGTGTTAGGTGTTTAGTCATCGGTACTGCCTCCAGACAGTGTTAGGGTGTCATCAGTTCATCAGTTACTGCCCTCCAGACAGTGTTAGGGTGTTTAATCATCAGTTACTGTCCTCCAGACAGTGTTAGGGTGTTTAATCATCAGTTACTGTCCTCCAGACAGTGTTAGGGTGTTTAATCATCAGTTACTGTCCTCCAGACAGTGTTAGGGTGTTTAATCATCAGTTACTGTCCTCCAGACAGTGTTAGGGTGTTTAATCATCAGTTACTGTCCTCCAGACAGTGTTAGGGTGTTTAATCATCAGTTACTGCCCTCCAGACAGTGTTAGGGTGTTTAATCATCAGTTACTGCCCTCCAGACAGTGTTAGGGTGTTTAATCATCAGTTACTGCCCTCCAGACAGTGTTAGGGTGTTTAATCATCAGTTACTGCCCTCCAGACAGTGTTAGGGTGTTTAATCATCAGTTACTGCCCTCCAGACAGTGTTGGGGTGTTTAATCATCAGTTACTGTCCTCCAGACAGTGTTAGGGTGTTTAATCATCAGTTACTGCCCTCCAGACAGTGTTAGGGTGTTTAATCATCAGTTACTGCCCTCCAGACAGTGTTGGGGTGTTTAGTCATCAGTTACTGCCCTCCAGACAGTGTTGGGGTGTTTAGTCATCAGTTACTGCCCTCCAGACAGTGTTAGGGTGTTTAATCATCAGTTACTGCCCTCCAGACAGTGTTAGGGTGTTTAATCTTCAGTTACTGCCCTCCAGACAGTGTTGGGGTGTTTAATCATCAGTTACTGCCCTCCAGACAGTGTTAGGGTGTTTAATCATCAGTTACTGCCCTCCAGACAGTGTTAGGGTGTTTAATCATCAGTTACTGCCCTCCAGACAGTGTTAGGTGTTTAATCTTCAGGTGGAATAAACCAAGTACAGTAATTATGACTAGATTTATTAGTCCTTTCTCATGAGCATTTACTAGACATTTATTTTGAGTAACTTGAAGAGAGAATGAGAGAGAACAGAGCCTCTGGTGACAGTAGCCTTTGATTTTGTGCTTCAGGTTCGGACGTGTTGTTCTGGTGCAGAAATATGTAAAAAATGCTGGAAATTCATGACCATTGCTGTCAAGATTTTGGATACTGCTCTAAGAGGTAAGTTTACTTGAGTAATACTGGTATTGAGAATTTTGCACAAGCTCAGTACACTAAGATTGTTAAGAGAAGTAAACATGCAGTGTAAATATAGAATCACCATTTACATACTGTATACAGTAGAACGTCGATTTAAAGCGATTCAATTTAAAATTATTGATTTAAAGTGATGCCCACAATTAAGGACAATGTTTCAATTTAAAGCGAATCTTTCCTATTTTGCGCGAGTCAATCTGGTGCAACATATTTTAAAATTCGTACCTAATGTTTATCTGAGCATGCTACACTGTCGTAAGGGCAAAGCTGTACTGTACATGTACTCAAAATAATTATGTACAGTTTTGTTCAGAATTTCATGATACACTCACAGTGGAGGGTGCATAGCTCTTTGCACCCTTCCTGGATGGCAGGTCACTACACCTGGGAACTAGCAGACGAGAGGACGAGCATCAACTCCTAAACCACGTCCATGCCCAGTGGGAACTCTGCAGGCATAGGCCAGAGTTTATGTGTGACTGTGTGTCTTCTATGCCAGATAGGTTGTATCCAGTTATTGAGAAAGGGAGAGGCTGGATGAGGTATTGAATGATAATGTGGTAAATGGCTTTCAGTTGTCTTTCTAAAGTGTGAGTGTTTTATAATTGCTAAATAGACATTGATAACCATCAATAAACAGACTACAGTTTATACATACACAATATATAGAGGAAGAAAATGTTTATAACCTATTCAGGCTATTGTGGGTGGTTGTTATGGATAGTATTATTCATGGCCTATTGTGAGTTGCATGGCAGACACCAATCCAAACTCACCTTCTTGTTTTTGTCTTTCCTGCTGTAAGGAATGATTAATGGCTGCTGATGATTATAATACAGTATAATATATTTAAAAGATTTATTATTTTACAATATTTCTCAATTATTTGTATTCAATCTATAATTATAGTACCAATAAATTACTAAGAGCACAGGGACAAGTTCCCCTTGGCCTCTACAGACACACATAGATAGACGATAGAAACAGACAGATAGATACTATACTTTATTGGACACTTATATGTTGTAACATTTCCTATTTACACTGATGAAAGTCATACTTATAGTTTGAGATTGCTGAGATTTATTTTGCAAATTATGTCATGGGTAATAGATGTCACATTTTGTTTAATTGGGCAAATTCTCATTTGAATAAGGCCACAAACGCACAAATGTTCCTCAACTGGCAAACGTCTGCGAGTCTCCCGTTCCAGTGCCAAAACAATCACCAACAAGTACCCTGCAACTCTGAAACTAGTGAACGAATTTCTCTGCAACTTGTTTATAAAGTGTTTGTCTTATGGAGACGGTGCGCCACCATCCTCAGATCAACTTCATCATACACATTATATATTATATATTTTGCCAGAGAAAATGATATGTGAACATTTACCCCAGCAGTAATGGCATCCATATTTCCATTTAATATCAAGTCTCATATATTATCTGTTTGGTGTATTAGTGTTGGTTATAACAGTGATCACAAACAATAATGGGTCGTCAGTGAGGACCACTAGTATTTCCCACCACCTGTGAAAGAAAATTTGTTGTTTGAGTTTAACTAAGTGTGGCAGCGAAGGTTAGCCTGACTCAGTAAAACGCACCTGGTTCATTGTCGCTCTCCTCACACCTATTACTTGTTATTATGACCAATTCTAAAGCTTCATCACTTGTTTTAAATTTGCACCCACCTAAGCCTCGTACACATAAGTGTCAACCTGAGTGGTGCATGAAATTGCCATTGCTTTACAAGTAAATGTCACATCATTGTTCTTTCTGAGAAATATTAAAAATTTCATCAGATGACACATCTTGTTCCTAGCATGAAGTTTGATCGCCATCGACCCGCCACAGGTGGCAGGAGAGCCCAAATATGTAGCTTGAGCAGTGTTCAGTTACCAGGCCATTCACACCAATTGACTTGGTATATCCGGCCCTGACGTATATCACAAAGAAATTAAGTTTGTTCTGTTTTATTTTTATCCCATAGTTCTGACAATAGCGCTGCAATAATGCTACTTTTGAAATCATATTGTTCCAGCTTTTTACAATTAACACAGTATTGTCCATCATTAGTAAAATGTGTTATTAATCAAAAAATTAAATCTACATATTTTTCTTTTATAATTTTGATAAGGTCTCAAAAAATAATTAATAGAATAAAAAATGTTGGAGAGCCCTGACGTATACACCCAAAGGGGCCGTCATTATGGCAGTCCTGATAACTATCTACCTCGCGCACAAAAAAAAAATATACATGTGTGTTGTGTAGAGCAACCCAACCAGTTGTATAGATGAATGTAATGTCCATTGATCTTCCTGTGCATTATAGTTATTTAAATTTAAGTGAACTTGTGAGGAACTAACTATTGCATCATGTTCATTGGTTCACATCTGATTTCCACATTGTATTCTGATATTGGAATGGTTCTCTTTTTGTTGAGTTCATTTGAATCAAACTGCCCCATTGCCAGTTCCAGTGTGTGTGTAGGTGGGAGGGTCAGCGAATCAACCTGTCACCGCAGGCATATCATGAAATTCTGAAGAGAACTGTACCTGCTTTTGACCTAGAATTATTATTTTTTATTCTTTCACCTTCATATTCTGTTGCTGTTAGTTTATTTACCAGCGAGAATATTTTTTTGCCATTGGGTCACTGCTGAACGGGTAAAATAAGCTGTGATATGGGTGTACTAGTTGAATTTATGGCTATGGAGTTGATAGTGTGATGAAGGTAATGTTTAGGGAGTTTAAGAACAGTCATGGTCAAAAGTTGTGTTGTCTCTCCTGCTCCATGAACCCTGAGATTCAGACTCGTGAACCTGAAGCAGTAGACACTGATGCATTATTCTGTCCACGGATGCTTCAAATTCATGACTGAATCTCAGGGGTTCGTGGAGCAGCAGGTGAGGCAACAGGGCTTATGACCATGACAGTAAATAAAAAAAAATAAGAGAGCATGTATAATAACAGAGGCAGAGGGAACTGATGGGTAGGCGGAGTGAGGGAGTAAAGTGTATGTGTATACAGTAGTATGATTTAGCTTTGGGGATGAACTGACTTATTTTTTATAGTGGTTCTATTTGTTGTCAGAGGATTTTGGGTACCAGCATATTCTCTGGGTGTACTCTGGTCGTCGAGGTGTCCATTGCTGGGTGTGTGATGGAAGTGCTCGTGCATTATCGCAGTCTTCGAGGGTTGCCTTAGCTGAATACTTGCAGTTAATCCGAGGAGGTGACAGTGTGACCAAGAAAGTGAATATTCCAAATAAACTTCATCCTTCTCTCAAGTAAGTATTTCTTGAGGATATGTACATTCGGGGTCAAAAGTCTTGAACACTTGACAGTATTTGGCAAGTACCCAAAGATCTTAGGTATGAAGGAGAGTTTGATCCCATTTTGTGGTTCAGGCATAATATTTGATGACAGGTACAGTAGTGTTATTATTATATCCCAATCATATACCGTAAATTGCGGCGCATAAGTCGACATTTTAAGCTTGAAAAAATCTCTCCAAAACCAGAGGTCGACTTATACGCCGAGTATAAAATGTGAAGCTGTATCACTTTGTGATAAACAAGTGGAACAGCCTGCCAAACACTTGCTGTGCATCACTTAGCGTAACTCCCGTGGCCTGCCGCTAATATTTCCTACTGAAATTCATGTTTGGTAAACTTATTTAACATAGAGATTATAATAGACTACAGTGGTCCCTCGGTTAACGAGCACAATCCATTCTAGAAGGTTGCTCGTTAACCGAAACTATTGTTTCATTGGGTTTTGGGGTAATTGGTTCCAGCTCACCGAAAATTGCCTAAATTCAACCAAAAAGGTAGAAAAGTACACTTAATTTGAGGTGTGTATGTAGAAGGCTCCTGGATGATGATGATGGGAATTAGAATGGGGGTGGAGGAAAAGAGAAGGCATTGGGGTGGAAGAGAAGTCACCCCATGGCGCCATTTCACCCATAAAATTTTAGTTCTCTTGGTGTAATTCAAGATTATGTTCTTTAAATCAATTCTGCACTGCATTATATATTGTCAATATGTAAAATAAATTTCAAAATGACCAATAATTTGCTTGCAAACACAGAAAAAAGCATTTAGTTGAAGAGAGTCTCAAGCAAGATGTTACCTCCACTGAAAAGACACAAAGACTGACGCCTGTATGGTGTGTTGGCAGACTGGATGGCATGTTCAATAATTGTTAAAATTACTAAAAAATTTGATATTAAACTTTTAAAATTATTGAATAGTATAAACTTCTTGATATTTACTAAAATGGTAAGGAATTTAAACTCTAGAACCGATTACTGTACTGGCGGACTAATACTACAGCTGGTGGACCGCCAAATGCAAGCGAAAACATGTTCAGGTCAGCTCGTAAGAAACTCGTTAATCGAGGGATTGCTCGTTAACCGAAGTTAAGAATCTTATGGAAGGTAACTTGTTAACCGAAATCTCGTTAACCGAGGGACCACTGTAGTAAATTCCAGTATAATTAAACGAACACAACACCACACGCCATTTTCAACAGCTGATGGACAGTAAACAGTCAATCAGAACGCCACTAAACCCAGGCGGCCAGCCAGACAACTACCAGGTACTACGATATGGGTGCCATTTGCACAATTTTATGATAACGCTATAGATTGTGAGTTCACATACACTACAGGGGTAATGACAGTTTAATGATACATAATGGCAGTTTATTGAATATACCCTGTACACACAATGACACTGTAATCAAAGCCTTAACTCTATGATAAAAAGTTAAAACTTTAACTTCAAGATTAATTTTACTTCAAAAGTTAAATTTTATTGACAATAAAAGCATGTATGATCACATTTTAAAATCCTTCAAAGTCTGCTGTCTGTTCATAGTCTAACATAAAGAGGTCTGCATATGGGTCCGAATCACTGGAACTTCCGACTTTGTCTTCATTATTTTGCTGTCATCCTCCTCGTCACTGTCTCGCCACAACAAATCATCTTCCCCATCCATTGCATTTGAAATCCCACATTTTTGAATGATTTTACGACAGTTTCTACACGAACAGCTTCCCAAGATTTTATTACAAATTCGAACAACACATCCAGTGGTGGAGCACGCATATTACCCCCCTTCGTGAATGACTTTTCTCCCTCAACCATCCATTTATTCCACTCAGTATATTCCACTCGGTGTATCCCCCATACACTGAACAAGCCTACATGGCAATTTACTAAACCATCGTGGCTTTATGCTCTTGCTGGCATCCACTCATTACCAACACACCAACCTGACAACACTGTTTAACACTTATGGTATTCAGTTTTTAAACAGTTGAAAATATCTTATCCCCACGGCTTCCCCAGCAGAAAGGATGAAATATGACTCAAGTTTCCAGCTGAAAGTTGTTGCGTTTGCAAACTCTTCAAAGATCAGTGCTGCAGCGGATGACAGTTTATGTCTAAGCCGTGTTGCTGACAGTGTAACGGACCCATAGTTTCGCAGCTGACCGCTTGGTGTTGGTGGTGCCACTGGCAGTTTCTTTACAACAGCTGATGCAAATGGCGGATCGTAAGCCAGGTGTACTATAGTGTTCTACTATCATACTGTTTATAGCGGTACTATCAAGGTGCTATACTGGTATGCTGTGTAAACAATTACTATTTTATTGGAGGTGCTGATTTTGGCTTGGTGTTTACCAAAGTTCTTACGAAGATAACTTACTGAAGATTTTTAGCGGTTGCTTGCTGTCCTATGTAGATCCTGTCGCCCACTTCCTTTTTTGTATGAACTATATAATATACTGTATACAGCTAGACCCCGACTTACGACCGTCGGGACTTACGACTGCTGCAGTTGTGACCATTTTTTTTTTTTCCAAATGACACACGCATTTTCTATACCGAAACGTTTCCAGTTAATGTAGTCTCCATGTATAATTAGAAAATTATGGGAGCCCCATGTGCATTCAGCTGACTACATTAAAGGTAAGTGCTCAGTCACACTGTATCCATTCCTCATTATTTGTTTATTTTATTGCACAGTACTGTATTTCATTGTAGATTTTTTATTTAATTTTTTTTTTTTTTTTCTCTTTATCTATGTCGGACTTACGACCATTCGGACTTACGACCTGGATTTGGGTCCCTAACCCCGTCGTAAGTCGGGGTCTAGCTGTATATCAAATATTGAAAGGTATTACGGCCAGAGTCTTGATGAAAGTGGCGTGGCCTTACTACACACTGTCGCCTATGTTTGAGCCTTGGGGGCCGACTTATATGGCTAGTATAGAATTAAACCTGAATTTTTAACTAAAAATCTTGAGGTCGATTTGTACGCCGCAATTTACGGTATAACTGAGAAGTAAATGCCAGATATTGCTATGTGTTCAAGACCTTTGACCCCGACTGTGCATAAGAAGTGTAATACAGTATTGTATGGATAGTTTGTCAGGACTGATTTTTTTTCTTTTGCTGCTCCTTGTAAAGATAAATATTTAATTCATACTTGTGAAGGTTTTGTGTTTAGTCATTAATACAGCATTGTATTTGATTCACAGGCGTGCTGAAGGAATTGCCAAAAAATTCTTCAATGATCTTATTTTATCAGACCAAGATCTTTTAGGCACTCCACAACTTTGGGGTAAAGTTCTTGCATTAGTTCCTGACCCAGCCCTGCGTGAATCTCTGGAGAATACTATGCCCCAATGTGTCAACTCTCAGCAACGTTGGAGCACGATCAAAACTGAGATTAACAGAACTCTTAGTAAGGTATATATGTATTACCTAAATTATCTGTGTACTCTTATATATTTGAACCAAAAGTTTTAAGGCAAACAAGACCTAGCTTTTCCTTACAGGTGGATTACAGTATTGTATACTCTATTCACTTCAGGTAGACATCTGGGACAAATGAAAGGATATTTGTGATTGGTGGACACAATCGGGGTAAAGGGTGGGTGGGAGAGTGGAGAGGTAGAATGCAATTTGGTTACCTACCATTCGTCGACCGCACGTCGCTAGTAAAACACTGTCTCAGGCACAAAGCTCAACTATATGCACATTAGAAATAACACTAAAAATCTCCCTGATATATTTTGGCCATTGAAGTAAAAACTGTGCCTTGTGCTGTTGGTGAACCGTCATCAAGTTTTCATTTCAATCTATTAACACACGAAATTATAGAGATTATCAATGACCAACACATTCAGGGAAGAATGTACTTGTGCCTCTCCATTTTGCATGTGGGAAAAAAGAAGAAATTATGATGATTATGATATTTATTTGCTAGAAAATATTGCTCATTATTTGTATTGAATTCATATGGTTAAAAAGTAAAGGAATGGTGGCCAAGTGAATAAACCAATTGCCTCCTGCCCACAGTTTCCTCACATACTGAAAAATGGCTTAGTCGTATCCACACCACCCTTAATGAGCATCAGGCCAACAGAATCCACTTTCTCTTTTGATCAGCTTCAATATTCCACCTTCCAGTATGTTGTGTTTGTAGAAGTTTTAGCAAATACTGTAAGTTTCTTATTGGTTTATGTTGTAAAGGATTCCACAGTAAATTTAACCTTAATAGACAAAAGCTATGGTAATTATTACTATATTTCATATTTTTCCATAGTCTGAGCACAAGAAAGGTTATCGGCCATATCTACTGACTGAAATCATCCTTCAGCTTGTTTATCCGAGGCTAGATATACACGTCACAAAGGGCCTCAACCACTTGCTGAAGTCACCTTTCTGTGTCCACCCGAAGACAGGTCGTGTATGTGTATGTTTTGACCCACTCAAGGCTGAACAATTTGATCCTATGGCTGTACCACATTTAAGGTTAGTGAGAGATATTGTGAGTGAGCGTGTGTGTGTTATCACACAAATCAAGTGCTTGTGGATAAAGTATACTGTACATATATTGTGATTAGTATTATGTGTATTGTTCCACAGTTAGTGAGTTGGTTTTTCTGCAATTTACTCTGACAAACTGACATTATCCACAATAATGCTAACAAGTATTGGGTTTCAAATTTTCAGATACTATATACAGATTGTTAGATAGATAGTCAGTAATAGATAGATAATAAAAGCCTTACAGATTCACATTGGTTCTGCATGTACACTCGCTACAAAGAGTATCTTCAAATTTTTTTGCTAGACTATGACACAATGGACGAAGGATTTTGATAACCCTACCAAGACAACAGGAGTCACAGTGTTCATTTTAACATCCATCGGACCCCACTCTGGTTGAAGCTGTAGGTTCAACTCTGGTTGAAGCTGTAGCATTCCATAAAGATATCATAGCTGCTGTTACTGAACCTGAAGTTGTTGCTGAAGCTGCTTATGATGCTGAATTTGATGGTGTCGCTGAAGTTGATAGTTTAGGCCTTCGAATAATAAAGCTGTCGATAGAACCTTGCACAGCTGCTTTCTTTTCTCATTATACATCTTTATGTAGAGGTCATATACGTTTATCATGTCCCTGTTCATTTTAATGCTGCGTTCTGTTAATGGACCCACTTCAGAAAATATTTTCACTGCTTGTTCCGTATAATGTCCACAGACCTCTCACCTTTTTCATATCGTTTTAACACATCTAGCTTCTTGGCTAAGCTTGTACACTTTCTTTTAGCTTTTGAACTAGTAGGTAGTAGGCAACTTTCAAACAGGGAGGTACTACCGCCTGGGAAGATATTGGAAGCATAATGTATTGCCTAATGGTAGACCCTGCTGCCATATGGCACCACAAAAATTGTGACTAAGTCCCAGGTTGCTGATCTGACTTTCTGCCTCATTTACACACAATTGCAGGGTCTCAATTGTTTCTCTTACTATTGATCTTTTTTTTTTAATTTTTGTACAGTGAGTTATGCTATAACGCGTGTTTTGATAACGCGAATTTGCTCTAACGCGATTTATGAATTAGGAACGATATTTGTATGACGCGAACGCTTGTTTGCTATAACGCGATTTTTGCTTACTATTTCTCCAATTTTGTGGTACTGTATTAACTGTGAATATAGTAAAGAAGAATATCAACAAGAAGCGTTCTGGTGATAGAATTCCCGGTGATGATCGTAAAAGAAAGGATATAACACTTGAAGAGAAGCTCGATTTTATCAACCTCAAAATCACCCTTCTCCCCCATCAAGTAAAGTGTTACATTTACTGTATGATTTCATTATTAGATATGAATGTAACATTTATTTAGACTGTGCTATCCTTTGTGTTAGGCTAACTACTAAATTTTTTCGATTTCGAGTAATCTGCACCTAACCCTATTTTCTCCATAAGCCCTGTTATTTCTATTACGCGATTTTCTATAACACGATATTTTACAAGAACACAATTATCGCGTTATAGCAGAACTACCTGTATTTATTTATTTATGGCTCATTATTATTATTATTATTTAAAAATATTAAAATTTTTATTCTTATTATTTTCTTTTATTATAATAGTTATTTGTTTTTATATATTTTATATTAATTTTATTACTATTTTATTATCATCATCATCATCAATCATCAATCATAATTATTATTTTTATTTTATTATATTTTTGCCCCCCAGGCCTTGATGTGGGTTATTAAAAATAACCTGTGCCTGGGTGAGCTAATGCCGGTAAAAAAAAAAAATAATCTGCTCGGGAACACATCCCTATTTAACCCATGTATTATTCCCTCCATTATAGAAGTTTTCGCTATACGAGCAGACTCCAAGGAACGTATCATGAGATTTAACTGTTGTTTATTGTCGTTTTGACTCGGTATTTTCAGTCAGCTGATGGAGGAGATCAGCAACTATGATGCAGGTAAGACAGATGAAGAACGTGGAGCTGTGGCCGAATACAAGAAAACCTCCATGAAACAGTCTATAGATCTCTTTGATTCCTTCCTCTCCAGCTTGGGCAAGGAAAATGTTGCGAGACGGAGAGAAGAGAGTGGTAAGATATTGCTCAAGTTAACCAATCTGATTGTTAGTAATTATAGAATGGTCATCGATATGATTGTCACAAATTAAAGTAATGGTCTCAATTAATCATTAGTGTACAATATAGTAAAAACCACATACAGTATACATTTTAGTTTTAATCTGTGAAGTGGATCAGAGGAAACAGAAGCCCTGAACAAGTGGTAGGAAGTAAAGAGGACACACACACATGCACACACACACACGCACGCACGCACGCACGCACTCACTCACTTGCATTACACTAACTTATATTTTTCAGATATGAAGCTGGATTTTTAACAAGTGATCAAGAATCAGGTGTTGGTGTTTCGTCCAGAGCACAGGACCATGTTCAGGAAGAATTACATGTATGGATATTATGGCTCTGTTATAGGTGTGAAATGGACTCAGAGTAGTATAAGTTTACAGTGGTTTGCTTTTAGAGAAGAAAATGGTAACATCAAATCGAATCAATTTGAATTATAGGTACACAGAAATGTATGAATTTATTGATAGTTTTGTTTTATTACAGTATTTGTTATGATCTAATGCTGTTTTATATGTTTTGACAACTCATTAACCAGTAATTAGTTACTAAAAATATGCCTTTGTTACTATACAGTACAGTACTACAAATTATTTGTTCTTCCACATTCACTCCACCACAGAAAATGGGAAGCCAAGATCAGCGCTAGTTCAACAGTATTCCTTATTTTATACACACAGCTTGCCCTTCAAATTTGCGGATTTTTATTTCACGGACCTCGATTATTCACGGATGACACCCTGGATGTACCCGAGAATGTCTAAGGGTAGTTTTAAAGTTGCCGGCACCTTGTGGCCGGGACAGGGAGCCATTTGTTCTAGAGACAGTAAGTTCCTTTACCTGTATTGTATATATACGTGTGTGTAGACACACGCACACAAAAAACATAAAAAAAATAATAATGGGAAATCCTCTCACAAATAATCAGAAACAAATGTATTAAAAATGTTGAGTCTACCCTCAAGTCCACTCCTTGCTTTGTTATTGATAAAGCACGGAGTGGACTTGAAGGTAGACTCAACAATTTTAATACATTTGTTTCTGATTATTTGTGAGAGGATTTTCCCATTATTATTTTTTGTATGTTTTTTGTGTGTGTGTGTCTACACACACACACACACACACACACACACATATATACAATACAGGTAAAATAAATAATTGTTCTAAGGGCAAACACATAAAGGGAATATAAATTTCTTTGTACACAAGCTAAAATGTAACACCTCCCCCCCTCCCTTGGTCAGCAAATATTATTTGTGGATTTGGCAATTCGCGGCAATTTTGAGAGCCTAATCCCCGTGAATTTGAAGGGCAAGCTGTATTTTCATACTTGACACACTTACACTGCCTATCCCCATATAATAGAATAAAAACTAATTTATGATGATGTTTCATAAATTCGGCAATAGCTGGGCGCAGGTGTCAGGTATCATCTGCGGCTTTATGTATGTGTTGTGGTTGGACCTTTTGCTGAAAGATGGCAGTGCATTCAAACTCTTGAAACATAGTTGATTTAAGCAGGGAATAAAAAAAATTTTTGACAACGTGGACTACAGTCGATTTTTACAGTGTAGCACAATAATTTTAAAATAGACTACAGTTGATTTGTGCAGTGAGAGAATTAAACATAATATTTCGACAGGTTATAATAATAATGGGGACTCAATTCTTTTATGAAAAATGTAAGGAAGGTTGATGGTCGAGTTATAAAATCAGTCTAAATAAGTAAAAGATGTTTTTTTTTTCTCTAAATGATCCTGAATTGTTTATCCAACAGTTTGTTTAAATAAATATACAGGGTATATATAAAAAATGTAATACTGGTGTGTGAGACGTGAATGGAGCTGTCTCTCACATCCATGACAGTGGAATTTTCCACCCTGAACTGAGCAAAGTTTTCTGAGTTGAATTTCTCATCTCACATGGTTAGACACAAGAGCTGTAATTATATATGCAAACACCACTGTATATGTTCTATATACAGTATTGTAAATAAGCAAAATAATGTATACTACTACTGTACTATATAGTATATTCTGTACTCACCATTAGATGCCTACAGTAGGCATACACTGTCCACTCTGCTGAATGTAATACGTAATTGTAATACTTTTTACGTCTTAACACTTGTAGTGGAGGTGGGGTGAGGGATTAGTGGTCTCATGACCTGAAGAATGATGTCTTGAATAAAGACGAAAGTTAAGGTGTTCCAGTGATAGCCTTTTCCTGTACATATGGTACTTTCACACTTCCTGAATGTACAGTACAGTACAGGAAAGCCTCCGACAACGACGGTTCTACTAAAAATGACAATTCATTTTTAGGACCCAATTCAATTTACACCATTATTTTCTTCATATTTACAACGAAAATAGAATAAAAAATAAAATAAAAGTACATTTTCATATAAATATTAACTAAATCCCGATATGTATTATACAAATAAAAAAAAAACGCCTTGCGCACGTAGGCTGCCGGGCTTGTGAGTATTGACGCTATCATCACTAGTATAAACAGCCGCAGCTAAACAGGAAAAGGAAAAAAAACTTTTTCAGGTTTCTTACGGCATTTTTGCGTCCCTATTCAACATGAGCCAGAGAGCAAGTGTTGGTAGCATTGGTTCAAAAGCTAATAGAAAGTGTATAAGCTTAGCCGGGAAACTAGATGTGTTAAAACGATATGATGAAGGTGAGAAGTCTGTGAATTTCTGTCTGAAAAATCCCTAAGAGAAAGGCAAAATGTCCCTTCGTGTCCCTAAAGTTCAGCAAAATATCCCTACACGTCCCTACATTTTATATTGGAGATTCGTATCGTTATAGTAAGGTTTATTAAGCTAATTTAGTCCCAACCAAGATATTTAAAATCCCACAAACACCAACCTTTTATTGGGATATAAAATCAGTAAAGAAAAACACATACTTTCAGCACTGGAATATATTGACACCAGTGATTTATATAAATGTAAAACTAAATGGCAAACTGGCTAGCTCCTAGTAAAGCCTTAGATGAATGAGGCAGAGAAGTTATTAGTCCTTTGCTCTGGCAAATCATGACTAGTTTTTTAAAATCATACATATGTTGATTATGATACTAAAGGTAACTTTCATCACCCTCCTTGGCAAAATCAATGCAGGTTTTGTCTTTGGATTTCAAATTTGAGTTGATAAACAATAAAGAATCTACCAATTCTGGTCCCATTCTATTGCGTTTCTTTGTCTTGGAATCAACCATCATTGAGAAAATTATTTCGGTTTCTGCATTTGAGTGTGGTAAGGTCAGTACCAACTTTGCAAGTGAAGCAATGTTGCAAAATACAATTTGGTCACTAGTTTGGAACTGCATGCAGGACAGAAGGCACGGTAGGGGTCATCTTTAACTGGAGAGAGCCAACCTCGAAATTCTTCTTTCTAAAAAAAAAAAGTAGATGACTAGATATGCAGTTTTGCTTGACATGTTATATCAAAACTGCATACCTAACTCTACGAAATTTAGCCTAATGTCCTAATCTTTATCCATTATATCAAAACACACCCCCACTCTCTTATAATGCTTTGGTTTAAAAAAAAAAGAAGAAAAAAAAAAACATCAAGATCCCCAAGAGTATGGACACCTTCATGAATCTGTATCATTAGAAAATTACCTCTGTCCAGTCTGGTCTAAAACGTTGCTTTTGCTTTGGTGATTTCTATTCATTTGGAAGTTCATTTCTCTTCCGTCTCGATTTCTTTGGTGCATCAGCCATAATTTTACTAACTGCTCCAGTACAGCGACAGTTAGGCTTATGAGTGACTGGACACTGGCGTGCGTCAACCTCGTGAGGGTTTGAGGATGACTGAGGGGCCAGGGCTGAGATGTACTGGAAGAGACTTGTACAGGAACGGAACGGGTGAAACCGTTTTACCTGTTCGGTTCACTGAAAGGGCCGTGAGTGACTTGACGTTTGTAGCCTTAAAATGAAAAGGTGGGAAATTTCTGGCATATTTATAATGACGTAATTCACGGCAAAATAGAGAAAACTTTGGATTTTTTTGTTGAGTCTAAAAGTCTCTGCGTTTCTAGCTATTTTGCCTGGGCATCCCTACGTCCCTACGAGCATGGAAAAGTTCAAAATGCCCCTATGTTTAGGGACATGTCCCTACAGTTGGCAACACTGCCGTGAGGAGATGTTAGCTGCGCATCATGCATGCGCAATGTTGACTGACGTCATCCAGTTGTGACCAATGAGGTATCGATATTACGTGAATTTTTTTCGACCTATCACATTCGTTTTTTTTTTCAAAGGAAGCAGCCTGGGTACGATTTTAATTTCATTGACCAATGACCAGTTTCACAATGGCCGTGGTGGAGGTTGGTTGTCGTTTGTGCTCCTACGATTATTTTAAGTTTATTGCCGAGTTTAAAGAGAAAGACGATTATTCTAACGTATTCTTACGTATGGTATCCCTGGTCCTTCCACTTTGGCAATTTCCGCCAAAAATGAAGAACAGATTCTTTTAAAACACGGCAAAATACACCGGAAAAAAACATATTGGTCAACCCCTAGCCCTAGGGACTCATGTCCTAAATTAAAAATTTGCCAAATGTTTGTCTCATGTTAGAGATAGGGGATGGTTCCTGATAGTATGTGGTGTCTTGCCTAGAGAAGGAGTTGGTGGTGAGTGGTTGTCTAGGGCAGTTGGTGTCAACGGCCGTCTTGACAGATATTGCAAGTCAATATCAGTCCCATTCATTGACAACTGGGACAACTTCTACGGCAGAAGGGACCTTTATGCTAAGGATGGGGTGGCAACCCTGGCTGGCTCTCGAGAGGGCAGCTCAAGAGATGCCGAAGTCTTTAAGCTGCTAGGGGAATATATGAGTACGGGGGTGGAGGAGACTGCAGTGGGAACGGGTAAACAAAGTGAAAGGTTACAGGGAAATAGTGTTAGGAATTATGACAAAACTAAATTAGGCAGGGAGTTAAAACCTACATGTAAATGCGACAAAGGGAGGGCTCAGAACATGACTAACTTAAATGTCTACTATGCAAACAGTAGGAGTATGAGAAACAAAATGGATGAAATCAGGGCGTTGGTATGTACCGTAAAAATTGATATAATAGCATTCACCGAAACCTGGATAAACCTAGACTCAAGTGAGTTACCTGTCGAATACCAAATTGCAGGCTACAAATTATTCCATACCGATAGGCAGATTAGAAAAGGAGGCGGAGTAGCAATCTATGTCAGGGATAATCTGAAGTGTGAAATAAATTAGGAAATAAAAACTGAGCAGAATACAGAAACAATTTGGATAGAATTGATCGATAGTAGGGAGAAATTAATCATAGTGCTCGTGTTAGTGACCATAGGAAATGGCCGCTGTGGATCGTTGTGTTGTGAGGGAAGAGGGACGGTGTGTGAGGAAAGACGACCCTCTGGCCACTCTGTTGAGTCAGCTGGAGCAGTTGAGGAGAGAGATAGACTTTCTAAAGGGGGAGAACGAAGCCCTCAGGACTGAACTCCTTCAGGTAGGCAGGACACCTGCGAAGGAGGAGCAGATGTGGAGAGTGGTTGTCTCCAAGGGGACTAAGGTCAGACTCAGGAAAGCTGACCAGGGTGTGGAGTGCAGTAACCCCTAGCAAGTGTTGGAGGAAGCTGGTGAGGAAGAGAAGAGACAGGACGGTGTGGTGCCAGGAGAGAAAAGGGCAGTTGTTCAAACCCTGCCCAGTGGTAAGGTTGTGTTAGTTGGGGACAGCCAGGTGAGGTTCTTAGATAGGACTTTTTGTGCAAGAGATAGGAAACGTAGGACTAGGGTG